CTTTTATTGAATAATCTAGTCTAATTTAATTGGAATTTGACTGACACATAGAGTAGTAACGTCTCTGCCTCAAGATCATACCACAGAGTTTTTTCCATGAAATCTGTTTGACACGGTTCTCTCCTGTCTCCTGGTAAGTAACTGAACTGCTGAGGTTAGTGTGGGGAAAGGTATCATCAACTCTTCCTAGACCGTAATGATTCCGGAGGCTAAGGCCTTAGGAAAGTCATTAGCACTGTCTTGGCAGTAAGTGAGGGACATTGGAGACTACTGGCTTGAGGTCTTAAGAGCTATCTACTCTGCAAAATGGAAAAACCCACCTATTTTCAATCCTGTTATTTTAGGACTTTATGACCTCAGTAGCATAATCCCATTTTACAAGGTCCTCTACTACCATCAGGTTGGATTCGCCAAACCATCTGGTGAGGGAACACCCTTGTTCTCAGAAGACTTTTGTTCACACAGATCTGGTTGCAAATATAGTTCCCAGGTAATAGGTTGCAGATAGTCTTGATGAGTTGCAAAAGACAACCCAGAAACTAGTAGGAATTTATGCTGAGGAAGGCAGCTTCCCATATTTTAGGAGCGAATTTAAAAATGTAAGAACATTTGGTTTGTTTTAGTGATCTTTTAAGAAGCAAAATCAAATGACATTATTTAGAAAGTGATATGAAAAGAGAAGAAGATAGTGTTCCTCTTATACTTTCCTGTATATTAATAAAAGCCTTCTGCTTACGAAGTTTTAAATTCTTAAAATAGGACTTAGTTAACATATGGATATACTCCATCTCCCCTAGGATCTGGAGCGATGAATCTATAACATCAGATGTTATGCTGGCAGAACCATCATTATTTTCTTCTTACTGAGTTAAAGTATAATTACAGAACTCTCAGCCCTCCTTCTCTGTCTGTCCTTCATTGGTCTGTCATGTATTAAACTATGTACTAAACTATTACATGGCAAACAGCCAGTATTTACTTTTTTGTTCTTTTGTCTCAACATCGCACTGGCAAAAACCACGAACTGTTGAAGAAATGAACAGCACCAGGGTTAAGAAACATGTCAGTAACAGTACAGGTTTTTTTTAGATAACCTTATCAACTCATAAATCTGTGCACAGAGAGATACTAATGACTCTTAGGCCTTTCATTCTCTCCTGTACTCCCAATCCAAAATCCTACATATTAATTTTTGTGTTGTGGGGCTGTAAACCTTAGATTATGATCTTGTTTCAGGTGTTCTGATAAGGGCAGAAGTCTGACACCTGGAACCCTGATTTGAGGATACACAGTCTTCTACCAGGCTTAGAATAGGAAAAAGAAGTACCTACAGTTGGAAGAGATCATATTATATATATTTATGGGTATATACATCCAAAAAAAATTTCTGCAGTTTAGTAAGCCACAAAAGACTTGGGTGTATCATATATGAAGAACACAGAACTACATAGAACATCACATTAACAGTTTACATAAGCTGAAATCCTTATCGAGCCTTCCCTGATTTTTTGTTTGGTGATGCGGCAGAATGAAAATCTAGACTTTTTTTTAACAACACAGTGTATATCAGGCAAAAGACTTTTTGTGCAGAATTACTATTACTATTTTGTGCAGAAAATTTCTTTGCTTTTTAATTAATGGGTAAAACAGCTAGAACAATCTGGATGATTCTTTTTGGTTCCCAACCTCAAAATGTGACATAACCGTCATGTAATGAAATACTAATATCTTACTAATAAAGATTGAAATACAATCTTTAAATTGAAATGTAATTTCTCAGTCTTAAGATTCTTCACTGCTTGAAAAATGAACCCTTTACAGAATACTGTAATACACATTTGATGCACGACAGTCTTTGAAGAAGTTTACCTTGAAAAATTCTGCTAAATTTAAAGCTGCATTTGCAAAATAGTTTATAAAACGGTAATTACCTTTCCCACCCAGCCTGACCCAAGCAGGGCATAGAGCAATTTCTTCATAGCAGCCTAATCTGGGACTGTGATAACTGGCAGCAATTAGAAACATTTCTCTGTAGATGTTTATTCTAATAGCTTCTCTATGACCTGAACTCCTCTTTCAGAGACCCCAAACAAGTCTACATTCATTTTCAATTTTTAAACAGAAGCTAACAGCGATAGACTTTATGAAGTCCTGAAATAGCAATGCTTGTCTTACAGCTGAAATTGCCAGGCACTTGCAACAGTGATCTTTCAGTATACAATCACTGCAGCATTACACATTGATTTCTCCCCAAACAATTTACCTTTTATGTTACTTTTATTTTATGTTTTAGAACTTTACCCAGTTTTCAGGCATTCCCATGCTCCTTGAACAGAAACAAACTGTTACATATATAGATGTAACCTTTGTTCTCTCACAAAAAGATACAGCTAAATCTTCAACTGGTAAGCTACCATAGCCTCTCTGGCTGCCTTGGAGCTAGATAATGTATACCAGCTGTGGATCTAGGACTTTTTAAAGTGTCTTATATAAGAACCAGTGCAAATGAAAAGAATATATTTGTAAAAGAAGGGGAAAAAATCTACAAAATGATTTTACTCTGTTGTTCTGGTATTTTTCTATTCATTTAAGAATAATTCCACTATGCTCAATGGAGGTTTACTGCTTTTCAACAGATGCAGCGTCATTCCAACTTGCTTTGCATTAGCTAAGAAAAATCATCTCACCCTTTGTACACCTTATAGGAGAAGCAAAGAGCCCAGAAACTCCTATGCACTATATAAACGAGCCTTAGCAGTGGGTGGACTGCTTTTTTTATAATTATGTTTTGCTTCCTGGTTATTGGAGCTGTGAAAGACGAGGAGGACTGAAAGTGATTTGGAGAGAAATCTATACCTTTGCTTAATTCTGGTAAAATATTTCCATGGAAATCATGTAGAAATTGTAAAAGCAAAAATACCACTCCCGGAGTCTCCTTACGAATATATTCCATTCGCATGATGCAAAGATCTAAGCCAGTATTAACCCAACCGGGAATGATTCCATGGTAGAAATATTCTGGGATGTTTCCAGAATAGAGTATGCATGAAAGTACTCTCCTGAGCGCCCAGGCAGGATCTGCCCCCTTGGCAAGGCTTGTGAGGACAGCAGAGGAGCATGAAAATGAAGCTGTTTGCCCCAGCCCTGAGCTGGCATCAGCAGGTGGGGCTGTGCTGCCTTACATGGACTGCCCACACGCATGGACTTCACCGAGTTATTCCACATTTAAACTAGGAGGCAACACACCGGCTTTAAACTTGACAACATGATGAAAAAGTCTAATTTAAAGCGAAGGCAATTCTAAGACTCCATCAGAAGCCATAAATATATATATTTTTAATTTTGCCAAGATTATATGTAAATTCTTTTCTTTTCTTGTGAGGAAGGATCGTTTCTGCTCTTAATACCTCTCGTTTTAGCCCTCCTTTTGGCTATTGTGGCTTTTCTTAATATACTGCAAGGAGAACGATTTATATGGCTAGAGCTGAAGAATATTCCCTTTTAAAATTCATTTTTACTATTTTCTGTCTTAAGTGATTTCATAGTGATTTCAAAGTGATATCTGTGCAGAACAACAACAACAAACTAGTGCAGCATGGCTTTTTGTTACTGATATTCTTCCACTGAAAGAAGAAAACTCTTCCCTCTAGTGCCCCTGCTTTGGTATAAGGATGTGTATTATTATTCACTGAGATACACAGCTATGTGATGTTTTAAAAGCCCCTCAATAAAGGTTACTGAGTTATTTATAAAATCTACAATGAAACTAGACAACCCTTTAAAATCAATCTGTCTTAATGTTTGCATTTTTCACAGACAGAAATTTTTTAAATTAATATATAGGAAAGCAAAAAAAATCCTTGGCTTCCAGAGCAATTTATTAATTGAAAAAAAAAAATTAATACACATTGTACCTTGCCAATAAAGATTCCTGTCCTTGATGCCAGCAATTCAAAAACAAAAGGCAAGCTTAGGCTGAGCATACAGGACACTAAAATTAAAGGTAATACAACAGTCTAGATATTTGATTAGTCTGCGTGATTATAATGTATGTCTGTCTGCTTTCCTATCTTGCTAAATGTTCTAATCACTTTGGGCAAACCTTATGAATTTTCCATTTTCCTCCTTTTCACAATCCAACTTTTATAAAGCTCATTGTCTGGCTTAAGAAAACTGCTTTGCATTCCAGCTAATTCACAACACTGATTTAATTGTTTTGCAGAGCGTCAGTGAGAAGCACTTCCAGAGGCTGATTTGTAAGAACCACTGAGCAATTTCAGTTCCCCTAGAGACCTGTGAGTGCTTAACTCTTCTAAAAGGCAAGCCCAAGAGACTAAGAATCAAATCTGCACCTTCACGTAATGTTTAACTATGTCACGGCAGTTCAGTCGTTGCAAGTTTTCTGCTTTATTCACCCTCATTCATTCCTACTGTATTTCAGTACAGTTTATACGACTTCTACATCACTAAAAAGATCTACTCAGAAGAAAATATTCAGCAGAGCTTTATATTCAGAACTAGTGCTGCAAACACTAACTAGAAAACACATGGTCCTCACTCTTCTTTCTGAAGTGAGTATAATCGACGTTTTATCTCTGTTTCAAACAATTAAAAATAACTTTTCAATAAAAGACAGCAGAAAGTAGTATAAATTTGACATCAGGCTTTTTAAAAGCTATTTTCTCTAACGCAACTCTCTATATCAGCTATCTTCTCCAGTTTCAACAATAACTTCAGTTATAGTATATGAGTTCAAGTTTCAAGTAATTTAAAGAATCTAAATCAGCATGAGTATTAGCTTTTTTTTTGCATATTAATATATTGTTATTCAGGCTATGATCTACATTGCTTACCCCAAAAACAAATGAATTATTTCTTAACAGCAGGCTGTTAATACTGACGTATTTTGAGAAGAGACACAAGGTACCCTCTTTTAACTATAGTTAAGAAGTTTTACACTAGGAGAGCTACAAATCACAAAGAGAAGACGTTTTTCTTACCATAATGAGGAATTATTGCCCAAGCCATTGCAGAAGCATAGATACCGCCAATCATCCAAAACATACAGAGCCAACTCAAGTGTTCACCTCGTTTCTCCCGAGCAAGCACTTCCGAAAAATAGGAGAAGACTGTTGGAACAGCTCCACCAATCCTAAAAGGAGATACATATCCTGGATTAAGGGAGCGAGTAACAGCTAGTTAAAGTCTGAACAAGCTAACTTAAAACCCAATCTACAAGCAGCTTTTCTGGCAAGAGTGTCTGTTTCTCTTTAATTGCACCATGTATCTGAGAACTCTCGAGGAAGCTTGTACCAGTTTGGATAGAGTTATCAGCAAAGATTTTCATGAAGACACTACGTTCAATGTATTCAATGATTCAAATGGATTGTCAGTGCACGGGCCCTCTGGAACAGAAACCAGTATAAAGCTTTGACTTTCACCATTACAAAAATCCTGTAATCATGGCAGTCTACTGCCAAGTGTGAAAACATTTTCCTTTTAACTGCAAACATTAGCCTAAGGCAATCAAGAAGCAGACTAAATGACAACTATGTAACTAATACACTTTATTTCATACATATTTGGAAGGATGCTTTCTATTAAGTTGCACTACAGGATTTGCTAAACCCATGCTGGCCTATGCATTCAAACATCATTCAGTTTTCACATGGTAAAACTAAACACCGCCTAAAGGTTAGCTGGATAAAAATATGTTCAACTTGTTTTTACAAAACCAGACAAAACTCAAAGTAGGTATCAGTTTCAGTACCAGGTTCCAGCTCATTTTTACTGTCTTTATCTCTTCGCTACATGTAGCAGCTATCAACCCTTCCACAACAGAGTAAGTCCATCCACTACTTGT